TAACTGGAACAGTCTACTCAAATTTGAAATCTCTCAAGGCCTTTTCTTGTCATCAGTCAAGTGCGCTTGCCTTCAAGTCAGTATACCCTGTGCCACTTAACATTTTTAGAGTCCTGCATTATTGTACCCTTATGGGATTATTCACAGGACTGGTTCGTGGTTTTTTGCTACTCAGTGAGGGTACAGCTACGCTGCAGGGCGAAAGCCGAATTAAGCTATGCAATTTCAGCTACGTCAATTGCATAGCGTACGTCAAAATAGCTGAATTCGGCTTTTTGTGTTGTCTACACAGAAGGAAGGCAAAAGAATACTCTTCCTTCAACTTCCCTTATTCTTTGACTTCCCTTACTCCTCATGAAATGAAGGTTACAGAAGTCTGAATAAGAAGTCCTCCAGCTCGACATTATTTCAAAAGAAAGGCTTTCAGTGTAGACATGATCTCTGTCATTTTGGAGTAACATCAGTTATTCCAAAATAATGCTGCTGGGTAAACATAGCCTGAGTGTGTTAATTGTCCAGCACTGTATACTTGTGATCCCACTTGAATCCCTCTTTTGGGTCCTCGTTTTTTACTGCAATGAGTACACACTTCTCAAGCTGACCTTCAAGGCTATCAGCGTTCTGCTGCTATCTTCTTCATTGCTTCTCTCTTCTCTGTTTCTCCTGTCTGGCTATGATGCTAATTTCATCCGACTCTTTGTTCACGTCTCTTGCTAGTGTGAAGGCGTCTGTGGTGAGAACATAATTTGAGTCAATGACTAGTCCATCTGAAGCAAGTTTCTCTGTCGCTTTGTTATTGGTGCCAATATTAGTGGTGTTTTGGTGCTGAATGGGAGTGCTAAGGAACAAGTGTAACTGACATAGTATTAAAAACACTGGAAGCTGCTGAAGTCGTCCCTACACTCAAACTCTTTTTGGTGGTAGCATGGTAGCACCCATGGGGATCTTTTCCTTAAATTTCCTCTTGAAGAGATAGTTACAGATTGCGTATGTCAGAGGTTCAAAGCCACACATTAGTAAAAATCCCTAAAGCTTTAGAAACAACAAAAATAATCTGTCAGTTTGGGTCTAGAAAGTACATTACAGAAAATTCTTTCCAAGTTCCACCTTGAAGCTCAGCAAAATCAGAAAGTGAGCTTGCATTAAGCTCATTTTCTCCCGGTGAAGAAGCTCATCAAGATCATGCCACTGGGAAAAAGAGCATATAGGTTTTTAATCTAGGTACTACCCAATTTCATGACATCTAATACTTAAAAGTTTACATGGTATTTTTTTTTTTCAAAATTACATCTCTTTGTAAACGTCATCATACTTCTTGACCAGTGCTTTTTCAATCCGTAGTCCACGGAGGGACTGACTTAAAAGGGAACATGCTAATAATCTGCAAATGTTTAAAGCATGTTTCAAGAGGACAAGACTGACTTAGTACTGTTCATGTACTTGCTACTATTCCCTAATCAGATCTTTATTTCTAATACATGAAACTACTTGAAAATATTAGTATAAAGAAATGTTTTTTCAATACTTTTTACATTTTGATACCATAGTCTTCTTTTCACAGACCGCCTGCCTCAGATGTGCCTCAGGATCTTTTGCACCATTTCTTATAGATCTTCAGAGTTGCATTTGAGAACTGTCTAAGGGTGACTGCACAAATTTGGTTAATTAGAGGAATAGAAAAAGTCTGTGAAATCAAATTCACATGTTCTTGCTACCCCTGATGACCGTTGATTTATTTTTTTGTGTTTCCAGGGCATCTGTCTTGTGACTGTTCATTTAGAAAGACTACAGGCTTTTGTCGACAGAAGTTTTGTCGACAGATATTGTAGACAAAGCTTCTGTTGACAGAGAGTGTCTAGACTACATCCAGTTCTGTCGACAAAGCAAGCCGCTTTGTCGACATGACAGTGTAGATGCAAAGGACAGTGTAGATGCAATAACGCCTTCTGTTGACAGGACTCTGTCGATAAAAGGCGTTAGTCCTTATAATAAGGTTTTTAGCCGTCAACAAAACTGCTGAGTTCTGGCGACGTTATGTCGACAGAACTCAGCGGCAGTGTAGACACAGGTATAGTTTTGTCGACAAAAGTCCACTTTTGTTGACAAAACCCTGTAGTCTAGACACACCCATAGAAAAGGAATTTAAGAACTTGCAATGACAATAGCAACTTGTATTCTTTCTTTAATTCAATCAGTCATAATAAGAATTTTTCAGCAATTGTTCAGAGACAGGCACAAGTGAATCATAGATATGCCTGGACAGGTCAAGTTGGCCCGTCATGTTGCTGATATTTTCACTGACTGAGTAGGCAATAAAAGTGCAGCATACGTGTATGTAGTAGAACAAAAATCTTCAGGTGTAATTTTATGTCGGTTATACTCACGTACCCTTATTGAAATTACTGGCTAAATGAAGAATCTGATCCTTAGTAAAAAAAAAAATTATTTGAGGCAAAAACATTAGAAAGATACAGTGCTGATGTTCTGGAGAATCAATTCGCATTAAAATATATTTTATCACAATTGTAAGTTATCTAATATGAGACACCATAAAATATTCTCTGTTGCTTGTTATGCTTCTTAAGTCTGGTTTTCTGTTTAGCTGCTTATGAAGTTGGCAGCAGTCTCATTATGTTCAATCATTTATTTTGTTTCATCATGCAGAAATTACAAAAACATTTACAATTTTTTCAGCGCTATTTGAAGCCAACACTGTTTTGTTTTTGTCTAGATTTACTTAAGCTGCACACTTTAAACTATTGCATAGCAAAAGATATGCTGATCTACTTTACAGGCAGTCCCCGGGTTATGTACAAGATAGGGACTGTAGGTTTGTTCTTAAGTTGAATTTGTATGTAAGTCAGAACTGGTACATATTGTAGGGGAAACTCTAGCCAAACATTTCTCCAGAGCTCAGTTTTATTCTCCCACACCTCACTTCCCTTAGTCCTTTATTCTCAAGCTGAGGTGTCTGCTGAGAAAAGCCGCTCTGCGTCTCCCTGGTCTGCTCGGGGGGAGGCGCTAGCTTTGCGTCTCCCTGGTCTGCTGGGGGGAAGCAGCTAGTGCGGGGTTGCCTCACCCGTTTGTAAGTAGGGATCCGATGTAAGTCGGATCCATGTAACCCGGGGACTGCCTGTATAGTGTAACTCTGGTAGTAAAAGTTGGAGTGCATTCATTGCTGGTACTGGCTTCTTGCTTTGAAAATCTGAAACCTGGCATGAAAGGACTAAATTAACTCTAAGTTTCTTGCAGTACCAATGGCAAAGAAAGGGATGCTTTGTAAGTATCACTACAGAAATCAAAAGTGAATTGGTTAAGTGGTGAAGAAAATTTTTTGAGGAAGAGGGATCCAAACTTCTTATAATTGTCCCCCATGCTTGATGGTCTGCCATTTTGCCCTAGCCCTGTGGTGTCCAGCCAGTTCTGAAGCAGTAGCCATTATAGTGGCTACTGCTTTAGGGAACTAGCCACACTCAACCAGCCAAATAGCCACATGTGGCTAGTGGCTATTGTATTGGACACCATAGTTGGCCTGAAGGCCAGTTATAGCAGAGTGGTATTAAATTTGCACCCAGGAATGCAAAGTGCCTGCTATGCCCCATACTGCCATGTTTCACTGTGATTAACTGGGCTCCTAGGGGAAAGCCAAGCAGGTGATAAGGATCCAAGCCACTGATTATTATTTAAAATACTAATTAGCTATTTAATAGCAATAAAATCAACCATGTTGTCCTAAAAAAGATCTTAAAGCAAGCACCCAGGACACAACCTACAAATTATTATTAGAAGTGACTTGTAGTACTTAAAGGCCTCATTTTTTAGCTGCCAGGACATCAAGTAAGTACCTCTTTATCATTATGCCATTTAGTACATATCATATTAGTTCTTAACTTATTTGACGTGTGAATTTTCCATGATGAATGTGAACAGGAAACTCCAAGATGCTTGAACAAAGAACATTGTATAAAAAGATTCTATTGGAGTGTTGGCCTTATCTCACAAATTATAATAGCTTGTTAAGAAGTGTGGCATTTTATTTCCCCATTGCAGCTTCACCAAACAGAGAATGTTCAAAGGTGTTGGGAAGAGGAAAATTTGATAGATGTGAACAAACGATAAAAATCAGCCTTTTAAGCTCTGAGGAAGTATTTTGTTCACATAGCAATTAAAAAGTGTACACAATCATTCCTCAATGTACGGAGGCATATTCACAATACAATTTTTTAATTAAACTTGAATCGTCTTGGTCTTCCTGGCCGTGTTGTCAAAAGTGACACCATTTTTTATTAAATCAGTACAATTGCTACATGTTCGCTCACAATCATGTCTCTTCCTCCTGCACAGCAGAACTTAGCTGAGCCAGAGTCCCTTTATCGATGCTGTGCCAAAGTTAGAAAAAGATTGTGGAAATATTTCCCTAGGATTGCATTTGTATGGAAAGTACAGAATGTAGTACAATAAAGAAGAACGGAGGGTAACTCTCTAAAGCTCTCTCACTGGCACCCATGATACATGGTAATCCCTAAGGGCACATCTACACTGCAGCACTATTTCAAAATACCTAGCACTATTTCAAAATAACTTAGTCTGCATCTACATAGCAGGCAGTTATTTTGAAATAGTGTCAAAATACTGTCAAAACTGGAGGACTTCTTACTCCAACTCCTGTGAAACCCTCGTTGTACGAGGAGTAAGGGAAGTCAGAGGAAGAGTGCTCTATTTCGAAACAAGTGCTGTGTAGACCCTCCCTATTTCGAAATAAGATATGCAATTGACGTAGCTCAATTTACATTGCTTATTTTGAATTAAGCCCTACAATGTAGACACACCTTAGTGCCTGGTACTAAATTGAAAAGATGGCAGTGTCCCATATGTGAAGACAATGGCATCTGGCATGTGTCAATCTATTTCATTTTAAATATCTATTTAAACATGCAACTGAAGTTTGATTAATTCAGATGTGTTGCCTGCAGTTTTCAAAATATTATTTTTTCTTGTAGTGGCCTTAAATTTCCAGACACCGGGACTACAAATGGAACTGCATGCTGGGAGATTTTTGGACAATGGTGGCTGTGGCTATATTCTAAAACCAGAGTTCCTGAGAGATCCTAATACAACATTCAATCCAAATAATGTAACAGATTGTCCTCCATTAACTCTTTCAATAAGGGTAAGTCTGGTTTATTGAAAATCTCATTTATAAATTATGGAAATAGCTCCCATTTAATTAACTGCAGTATACTAAGAACCTCTCATGTATTTATTGCTGGTACCTTTTTTCTTCAAAAGCTCATTGTCCTTTAATCTTGTTGTTTAACCTAGAAATATTCAATTCCTTGATACCATGGTGCCAACATATTATATTCAGTGTTGTTTGTATGGTCACCTAGTGTCATTTCACATCACTTTGCTTAAAGAAACACCTTTCCCTTGAAAATGTAAAATGTTTGAGGAAACAAAACGTGTACAGAATGGTGTCTAATAATATAAATATGGCTCACACTGAGGTAGATAATCTATTTACCTTATACGATGAATGAGCTGCACTTGTAGAAAACTATGTACATCTTTAGTAATCAGTGCTCTTGTTACACAGTAAGGATATATAAAAATAACTTTGCACAGAACTCAACTGGAATTTGGGTGGGTACTATTATTTTCATTAACCTCATAGCCTTTCTCCCTTTCCCCACATTAGTTCTTCCATTCTCTTCCTATCACTTTGTGTTTTGTTCTAATCCTTGCATGTGAGGGGGAGGGCAGTGGACTGCCTCACATTCTTTCAGGCATAGAGTGGCTACTCCTGAAGGTAGGGGTGGGTGTGTGTGTGTGAGAGAGAAAGTAGTTATTGAGTGTAAGACAGTCCACTACTATGTCCTTTTCAAAATAGGATTCCCTGTACCAAACAAGAGGAACCAGGTAATCCTCTTCTTATTTGCTAAGTGCAGGAAAAAACTTACAATATTTTAGCATAATTTTATACAGTAAAGATTATGAAGTTTTTTTCTGCAGTCAGCTTCAGAGGTGCTGGAACAATTTGTATAGAGCAGATGCTGAGAGCCATTGACCTAAACTGTAAATCCCGTAGCTGATGGAAACCACTTCTAGCCACGGGTACAATAGCACCCTTAGTTCCAGCACCTATGGTTAGTTCATTTGAGAAGTACCTGACAGTATGGTGCATCTCTAATCCTTATAACCTATGATGAATGTTTTTTTTGTTTTTTTGTTTTTTTTGTTTTTTTGCCCCCTCCCCAAAATCCAGATGGTTTTCCATGGCCAGCATAGGGTAAAAGTGGCCTATATTAGAGACCACTTCTGAAGACGATGGTAGAGTTAAGAAGTGATTACCTGGCACCTCCTGAAGAACTGAGAGGAGCAAGGCAAACTAGTAACACCACTGAAGACACACACTGGGAAGCCAAGTGGTGGGCCTAAACCTAGAAGTGAAATATAGTAGACACCTTTACTAGTCTATTCAGCTTCTCCTGAGTAACCTGATGGGATTGGTCCACTGCCAACCCACACAAATAGACAATGAGTAGTTAACATTGTCTACATTTATATTAAAGCATCTTGATCTTCCTTCAATGTATAAATTTATACCGAGCTAAAAACTGGTGAAGTAAATGAGCAAATTTGCTCACTCAGACATATGATTGTCCGTGTTATATCTGGTAAAGGAAAACTTGTATAGTTGCCACAGGAGCAGGATCAAGGACTATACAAGGCAATTTTTTGTTTTCTCTTCATTAAATATTAGGCATATCCTATACTATGATACTATTAATTTGGTAAAAACAGAATTGTAAAGATTTGTATGGTAGCCTCTGTGCTTGACTTTTACACAAATCCTGATTTAGTGTTTAAAAGCCCTTATTAAAAAAATCAATTTCTCCTTTTCAACTCCAAATAGAAACTTCCAAATTCTCAATCATTAAAAAACTAGTTTCCAATGAAATGTTATCTCTGATTCTACTGTATACTACTTACTTAAATGCTATTGAATGAGCATAGAATTAATGGATAATTGCTGTTTCGTTCCTGTCAGTGAAATAAATTGCGGGAATAAAGCATTAATTAAATAGGGATTGTAGAATGATTATACAGTGTATGTGTATCTTATTCAGCACATCATACTAGTCTGGTAGTGAGCACCCTGATTATATGATGGATGTGAATTAATGATTTCAAGCTCTCCTGCTTAGACTCTAATTATATTATTCATTATTTATATAGAGTTGTAAGAGATTAGGACAAAACCCAGGTTATGGGCTAGGGGTTAGACAGGATTATTAGTAACAGAAATGAAGTGATTGTGTATGGAAGAGAGAGCACTGGCAAGCAGAATTTGAGGTTGATAAGAGTTTAACAATGAGCCAGCCAGGTAGCAGTCAAGGGCAGAGTTTTGGGAGGGCAGAAGCTGTGTGTACTGAAGCATGACTTGCTTTTCTTCCTGTTCCTCTGACAATAGGGGAGTGAGGTGAAAGTACTTGGATTCTGTGCATGCCTGTCACTCCTGGCTGGTGAAAGGAGGGGGACAGAGGTGTAAATCACGGAATCCAAGTACTTTCCTTCGCTTCCTTACCATCAAGGGAATGGGATAAAAAGCAAGCTGCATTCCGGTGCACATGGCTGCTGCCCCCCTGCTCACTTGAAAGTCCACCCTTGGTAGTGGGACATCCAAAGAAGCAATGACAACTATGTGACTAATGGAATGTAGGCTTCAGAACATGAGAGTTAATAAGGTTAGAATGAGAGGAAGCAGGTAGCACAGACGGATAGGAGAGGTGCTTATAGAAAGTAAATTCAGAGCCAAGAGTCACAATAAAACAAGAACAAGTAGACCTGTGATGATTTATTTGGGCATAAACTTTCATGGCTAAAAATCACTTCATCAGATGCAATAAAAAAGATTTAATTAATTACCAGGCTCGTGAATGGGGGAAACTAGATTGCTATTTGCAGAGGACATAAATAAGGGGAAGGTAAAACAACTGAAGAAAGATGTCTCACGTGTTTCATTAGCCAAGAATGAAGCTGGATGCAGGTTAAATTGAACAAGTGGAACTTTACTAAACCCTAAAAAAGGAGTGGTCCCGTGGCCCTTCACAGATTACCAAAATCTATACAATCCTGAGCTTTCAACCTCAGCAGATGAATTGTTTTGCCCATGAAAGTTCATGATTCTGTATATTTTGGTTCGTCTCTAGGCGCCACAGTTCCACTCACTATTTTTAAAGTTATAGACTAACGTAGCTACCCATCTGAGATTTTTTTTTTTTTTTTTTTAAACTAAACCTTGTGCTTTGCTCCGGCCATGTGGCTGAGTAGCTTCTAGTCTACCTCCCACATTCCCTGTTTTCCTGGAGTCCCATTAATAACACAACATGGATCCTCTCACCCCAGTTCAGCTGATCATGGTACATGAGGGGAGGAACAGTTTTAACTAGGGCTAGCAAGTGATTAAAATATGTAATTGTGATTAATCGCGCATGCCTCCCCTTTGAAATGCCGCAGTGGCATTTCAACGGGGCAGTGCTACATGGAGCCCGGGATCAGCTGAAATCCCCAACTCACTCTGGGCTTCATGCAGCATTGCCACTTGGAAGTGCCACAGTGGTATTTCCAAGGGGCTGCGCTTTAGGAGCCTGGGATCAGCTGGGCACTCTAGCTGATCCCCGGCTCCGCTTGCACTGCCCCTTTGAAGCGCCAGTGTGGCACTTCAAAGGGGCAGCACAGCATTAACACCTTAATTAATTAAAAAAATTAATGTGTTAATCCTGTCCTGCATTAATCGCAGCTGTTAACACAGGTCAATTGACAATCCTAGTCTTAATAAAATTCATATGGGCCTTACCTCGGGGACCTCGGTCAGAGCTCCTGAACATAGACTCATCAAGGAAATGTAAGTGCCTGGGAGCTGTAAAGTAAGGGGATCACCTTTGTTGGATGGAAATAAGGGATGACAACATGAAAAAGAAAACATAATGCTTTGTTTTATGGGACATTTTAAGGAAACACAGTTTTCCATAGTCTATCAGGTACTTTTCTCTCAAGTATACGTTTCTACTGTCCTCAAGTCTACAGTGGATTTATCAGAAGCTTCAATTTAGTATTTAAAATAGTACTTACTATTAAGGCTATGATTTAGTTATGAGTATTTTTTAGTAAAAAGCCCTAGACAGGTCATGGGCAATAAATAAAAATTCATGGTCTGTCACTTGTCCATGACTAGTGTTGCCCAGAGTCCTAGTGAGCAGAATTTCTGCTGAAAAAGGAAGCCTGGTGGTGCCGGTTGGCACTGCTGTCCAGGCCATTAAAAGTCCCAAGGCAGGCTCCATATCTATTCTGTTTCTGCACTGCTTCCGTGGCACGTTGGTGATTAGGGAGGCTCCTCAGGCTGCCCCCACGCCGAGTGCCAGCTCCCCAGCTTCCATTGGCCAGAAACTATGACCAATGAGAGCCGAGGAGAGGCACCACCTGTGGGCATGAGGGCAGCATGAAGAACCTCCCTGGCTGCCACTTCCTGGGAGCTACCAGTCCCCTGCAGCCTCAGGCCTAACCCACACTCCAAACCTGTACCCCAAATCCCTCATCCCTGGTCCCTGGGGGGGGGAGGGATAGCTCAGTGGTTTGAGCATTGGCCTGCTAAACCCAGGGTTGTGAGTTCAGTCCTTGTAGAGGCCATTTAGGGATTTGGGGCAAAAATTCATCAGGGATGGTACTTGGTCCTGCTGTGAAGGCAGGGGACTGGACTTGATGACCTTGCAAGGTCCCTTCCAGTTCTAGAAAGAAAGAAAAAGAAAAAAAAAAAACCCACACCCCCAGATGAAGCCCTAGGCCCCCTGAACACAAAACCCATACCCAGCCCTGATGCCCCTCACCCACAGCCCTACTCCAGAGCCCACATCCCCTCCCGCACTCTAAGCCCCTGTCCCCAGCCCAGTGAAAGTGAGGCTGGGGCAGAGGGAGTGGGGAATGGAGTGAGTGGGGGCAGGGCACTGGGAAAGGGAGGGGGAAAGGCCAGCTCTGGGTGTGGATCAGGAGTGTTCCATTTTGTGTGACTAGAAAATTGGCAATCCTGGCCATGCTTTGTACTATAAATACCTTTGGCTAAAGCTTAGTTGGGGGTGGAGAGGGTAATGTTCAGGAGGGGACAATGGACCAGTGGAACCATCCACTGAGCAGAGGATGCTCCAGCCACCCCCAGGGCTACCCACCTGCTGCTGCTCCTGGGGCCACTGCCAGCAGCTGCTGGCTGCTTCTGTGGTTTTTAGCACCACTGCTCAGGCACCGCTGCTGCTGCTTGGGTGGCCCTGGGCAGCTTGTTCCAGAAAGCACCCAAGTAGTGCCAGTGTGGCTGGCCCCAGGGCCACTCCAGCAGTGCTAGTGTGGCTGGCTGCAGGCCCCCCGCAAGTAGCTGGCTGTGGCGCTGTGCCAGCAGTTGCCTGTGTGACTGTTCCTAGGGGCCACCTGAACAGGTGGTCACAGGACCAATTGCTCAGGTGACCCTGGGGTCGTCTGCTGCAGACGTCATGGACGTCTCAGCATTTGTGACCTCTGCAACCTCCTTGACAGACATGCGGCCCTATTATCAGGTTTACTACATTTCAGCATATCAAAATAAAGGATAGTTGGTCAGATCAAGGGATAAATCAATGAAATAAGAGATGGGTCCTTGAAATAAGGGATAGGTGGCTGTAATATTATGTGAAAGCAGGCCCGCTGATGGGGGGGGGGGGGGGGGAGCTCCCAGCCACCGCTGCTGCTAATGAGGCAGTGGTGGTTAGAGCCCCAGGCCTCTTAAATTGCCATCAGAGCCCCCTTCAATGCAGCTGTGAGGGCTACGGGTGTCCCAATGCTGTGGTTTGGGTGGCACTGAGGGGTGGCTACCTCTGGCCCCATCCCTTCCAGGGCACAGAGCCAGCCCCACACCTTGCCCAGAGGTCCCACAGAAGCTTTCACACCACTGCATGAAAGAGATGGCATGGTGCCTAGTCGTTTCTCTCTACCTGAGCATCCTGTTTCAGTTACCAAGCCCCAGGACAGGAGAGGGCACCACCTTGCTTATGTTCAGACTGTTTTGTGAGTAGGCTTCTAGCCTGTCCCTGCCTGGAGTAGTGCATGCCTGTAAGCCAAAAGCGCCGCTAAAGGAAAAGAGTTAAGAGACAGAGTGGTCAGAAGTCTCTGACAGGTGAAGCTTAGAGGCAGTTTTACCAGCTGTGAGTTTGGTGGTTCCATAATGGTGAGTAGATAGGAATGAAAGCTGTCAGGCAACAAGAGAACCAAACTGGTAGATTTCCTGGGCACAGTGAAGGGAGCCGGATGGAAGACAGCAGATTGGTCAGTGGTTACAGAAAGGAAGTGACAGAGGCTGTGACAAGAAGGAATGGCATGGAAGGTTAGAGATGGGGAAGGAACCGTGAGAAGAGCATGGTTCAGCTAGAGGGAATATTAGAATGGAGCTGAGTGTCAAAATACATTTCAATGCAGGTCATTGGCAAGTAAAGAAGTTTATTTGAAAGTGAATGGCAAAGGAAATTGGAGAAGGTCGTCATCATCAAATAGTTTTAAAGCCAGTGAGCTGGTAGACTGGCAAATGCAGGAGCAGTAGTCTTAATTTTTATTTATCAGTAGGAACTTTTATAGATACACTGATGTGGAGGCTCAGTAGATATGCAAGAGGATTTGTGTGCCCAGATGCCTTCTGTTTGCCATGATGAAATGTTTGATGCTTTCTGATGATCTTTGTGTTACTGCTTACATAGATTTCTCAAACCTGAAGCCACTTTGTCACTTCAGTTCTACTCACCTCACATTTTAGACTAATACCTAGCTGCAAGGAAAAGATTTGAGAATCGTTCAGCCTGATGGACGCTCTTGCAAATTGATGAATAAAGTAGAATGGAATTTTTGTATGTATTACATTTCTCCCATTCATATTTGAAAGCCTTTCTGAGTGGCACCACATTTGTACTGAGATAAATTACTACCACATCACTGTCTCTTTTGACCGTGGTTCACACTGAGATGATCACAGGGGGTTCTAATCTGTGAGGTTTAAGTACTAAATAAATCAGAGCATTCTACAATAGGTTTGGCGGCTTTATTCTATGATTCATCTTCTACAAGTGCCTCCTTATATCAAGCAAGTCTGTCTTTAATCACTTTTAATTTATTGTTCAGTGGCTGGTCTTGCCAGCCACATGGGCAACAGAATACCTTTACTTTACATAGCACACGGTGGTGGTCATGCTGTCAGTAACTGGCTGACTCATCAGTTATCTTGTATATTCACATGGAGCTTTTCTGGGGTCATCTGGTTCATTCAATCCTTTTTTGGGGCATTAGTATGGAAGGGAAGTCACACACTCAAGGTCTGATTGTCATATTTGTGATTTGGAAGGAAGTTCCCCATAAATGACAGTGGCAGAGGCCCTGGGATATTTTTTTTTTTTTGCCTTCCTCTGCAAGAATAAATGATGGATTCTATGTACAGTAACTTGAAATCTATAAATCATACCTTGAGGACTTCAGTAATTCAGCCAAAAATTATGGGCCTATAACAGGAGTAGGTGAGGCTAGCAATGAGCAGGAAGTCAGAGGTGGTGAGTATGATGGTCCCTGTTGGCTTTAAAATCTGAGTCTAATTAACAATAGGAGGACTCAGGGGGGCTAAAAGCAGGCAGAAAGGTTACTAACACACGACTGCATAAGTGAAAGAACTGAATTGGTAGGGGCTATTCTTCCCTATATGTGCCCTCTGGCAAATGCTTTTGTCACGCTTGTGCAGCCACAATGGATACATCTTTGGTGGTAGTCCCTGAATTTGATGACAGGGCAGTTGGCAAACCTACAAGAGGGAATTCACATAGGCCTTCATTAATGCAACAACAACTTTCTGTAGGTAATGATTAAGATCTGCTTAATGTGATCATATTTTGGTGAAAACCAAAAGTGAGAAACACATTATTTTCAAAAAATATTCTTTGGTTGCACAGGTTTTAAGATAAGTAAATGGAAAACCAAACTAGCAAGAGATTGAATTAAGTGTGAAGCATTACATTTCAGTTGGTCTTTTGAAAAATTTCTTCTGCATTTTCCACTTTATATGCTAGACTGCACTGAGCAATTATGGAATATACAGTTCAATGTTAAGATTGCTATAATAAATTATATTTTCAGGCCCAAATGAGATCTTATGTATCATTTTCATTTATGCAGATTATTTGTGGTTATCAGTTACCGCCTAGTCAACACAGCAAGGGTAATAAAGCTGATCCCTTAGTCCAGATAGAACTTTTTGGTGTTCCAGAAGATCAAATAAAACAACAGACTTGTGTCATAAAGCGTAATGGTAAGCATAACATATTCTACTGTCTGTACATGATTTCAATAATGTTACATACAGGAAAGTTTAATATCATATAGAATCTCTTTCTCCAGTAATTTACTCCTCAGCAAAAAGTTGGAGTGCACTAACTGCAAAAGTGGGCACGAGGTAGAGAGACTGATCTGCAAAACTAACAGTAAACCTGGCATGGTAATCTGTGTTCCAACAAGATTAGTCTGAAGCAAGTAAATTAAATCTGAAGATTTTATTTTTTCTATAAACAGTTTTTAAGTTACCATGTGTCTTATATGAACAATGATGGAGTGTCAGTTTTAGAACCTAAAGTAGTTTTACACACATAACAGCTAAAACGTGAGCTGGTTCCTTGGCCCTAATCTCACCTTTGTGCTAATATGACCAGACATAAAGGGATCGTCTTTACCAGAGGTGGCAAAGGCAGCTTCTGCCATTCTAGTTTGTTTCTTCCATCTCTCTTAGTTTATTTCTCTTTCATCCCATAATTGAGAAGACAAAATGAGCAAACCTATGTAGAAGGATAAGAAAAACCAAAAATCCACCATCGCCATCTGTAGTGACAGATCAGCTATTGTGGTGGGATCACCCTGATTTATTTGGGACAGTTTATCTACTAGGACAGATCAGTGCAAACCCCTTTACCAGCTGTGACAGCGTGTTGGGGTTTTCCGGTCTCCTGCACCCCTGTAATGGCACGAACAGACTCCACCAGCCAGTAGAATAGAGGGAGTTTATTGCTTCTCCAGGATACAGCACAGCACAGCACAGATGTAATCTGGTTACAAGGCAGGCCTAGGATGCCTCAGCCCCCCTTGAAATGGGGGAGACTGGGCTCCTACATTCCAGCCCCTTTCCCTAGGCTGGCCCCTCCATGCTCCCAGACAGAAACTAACTCTCTTCCAGCCCTGCCCCCCCGCCCCCAGCCAGGGGCGGCATTCCAACTTCCTTTGTTTCTCTCCCTGGGGGGTAGCTGGTCGGACAGGTTTGGAGCCCCCTTTGCATAATGACTCATCCCCTGCCCTGCTGGGCCGTGCTACAGACAGCAGCCTGTGGAGGTCACCCACTGCCCAGCATAACAACCAGCAAGGTACCCCCACTACGTCACACCAGCTATCACCTTGACCTATCTCTTTGTGTGCATGTGCTTTTATGCAGATGCAGAACTTGAAGGATTAAATAGGGAAGCCAAAATGAATCCACAAGAGACTCAGAAAGGACATATATGAATTAGTGTTTCCTCCTTATTTCCCCAAGCACTTCAGTTTTTCAGATCTCTTGCCTCTCCATTTTAAGGATGTTAAATTTTAGATTAATCAACTAATTGAATAGTCAATGCAATTTGCCTCAGTCCCAAAGCAGTAAAAGAAACGTTGGCACAATCTTGAGATTACTAGGGCTATAACACATTTTATTTGACCACATCCTCAGTGTCAGGAAATCATAATCCCTGTTTGTTCTCTTCAAAAACAGCGTCTCAGTCTTGTGCATTGGATAAATCAGAGTACTTCTTACAGGTGCTGTCCTATCACAACCTGTGCCCCTTGGTTGGGGGAGGGGCTCAGGGAAAGGGAAGGTTGTGATAGGACAGTGCCCGTAAGAAATTTGTGGGGGGGAGGGGGGTTGAGTTCAGGGGACACAAAGGAGGATGCTGCTGTATGGGAGTGTGCAGGAGTCATGACAAGGGGCTGGGTGTTGGGGAAGGGGGAAGTGCAGGAGTCAAGGCAGGGGACTGGGAGTGGGGGGAAGAGAATAGGTGGAGGACCAGGGAGCTGGGTTACCTTACCTGACTGGTGGATGGGTCCCTCTGCTACCACAAGGGAGCTGTGGGCTGGCTACGTGGGGGCACTGCAGCAAGGAAATTGGCAGCAGGGCAAGAGACCCTTTGTCCTGCCGCTTCCTTCCCCTGGCTTCTTCCCAGGGGCCACTGGGAACAGCATATACCATGGACAGCATGAGTGCTGTCTGGCATCCACTGAGGGTGCAGCAGGACAGGGTTGTACCAGAATGTACCAGGACTCCATCTGGCCGTGCACACTCCTTGCCCACAGCATGTTCCCAGTTGACCCTTATAGCTTGCCTGCCTTACCTGGCTGCACACACCAAGTTGCTAGCTAGAGAGCACACTGCAAGCTGTGCTGCCTGCCCACCAGTCTCAGTGGAGCACACCAGACTCAGCAGAGCATCCCAGCCATTTTTTGCTGGAGCCACAGCAGCATACCGGGGCACACTGCCTTACTTACACTGCTGGTAGAGAGGGACCTATCTCTGCTGGCTGAATACTGCAAAAAATGAGAACTTCCTTTTGGCTGTCATTACTCCTGAATCCACATAAAAGTCCTGCGCTTCCACCAGTGGGAGTTGTGTTATTGAGTTCAGTGGGCACAGAATCAGTCACAAAAGGAGCTGCTGCCACCAGTCCGCTGGAAAGCATAGCTCTCAAATTAATTACAAGGAATACAGTTCTCATTATTTTTCAATCAACTGATGTGTTTGTATAGGATGCTGTTTGTTTTACAATTGTTTTCTCTTTCTCTTTTCACCCCTTCCCTCCAGCGATGTGCCCTAGATGGAATGAAACTTTTACTTTTACTGTTCACGTTCCCGAAGTGGCATTAATACGCTTCACTTTGAAAGACCAGGTCATGCTAGCTGCAAACGACTTCCTTGGCCAATACACTTTACCGCTTATGTGCATGAATAAAGGTATTACTTCCTCCCAAAGCAAACTGCATACCAAACTGCAAAATTGACAAAAGCATAACCCATACTATTAGCCTATTGTTTGTTTAGGTTTATTAGACATCATAAACTTTGTGTTAGGTAAAAATAACGAGGGGTCTTGTGACATCTGAAAGACTAACAAATTTATCAGGACATAAGCTTTCATGAGCTGCAACTTACTTTGCCATATGCATGAAGTGAAAGAATCAGATGGCAGGGATGTATCTATAAGTAAGTGCACACACAAAAGATAGGAGTTTTACAACAGTGTTAATGAGGCTAATTCAGTCAGGGAAAGTGGAAAATTAGGTGAAGTAGATACAGAGTGGTATTCATCAGAGTTTTGGGTCATTGTTAGCAATGCTGATTAGATTCTATGTAAATGCTGACCTTATGCACTGAAGGAAAATATTATTGATTGGCAGTTGTACCTATTGTAGTATTACTTCACTCACATTATAAACAGAATCTATTCCTAGCATCAGGGAGTAGCTACGCAAGTCTGTATAGGATAAACTTCAAAAACAACAAATAGTCTGGTAGCACTTTATAGACTAACAAAACATGTAGAATGGTAGCATGAGCTTTTGTAGGCACAGCCCACTTCTTCAGATGATCCAGCTGTGCCCACGAAAGCTCATGCTACCATCTATATGTTTTGTTAGTCTATAAAGTGCTACCAGACTATTTGTTTGTTTATTCCCAGCATGGTATAACTCCAGCCCTTAAGAAACAAGAAAGTGAACAGAGCAATTAGTCAAGACCAATATAAAGGTACTATTCCCAGCATGGTATTCCCAGCATGGTATAACTCCAGCCATTAAGAAACAAGAAAGTGAACAGAACAATTAGTCAAGACCAATATAAAGGTACCAGAATGCCCTGATTTACTCAGTCCAGAACCTGAACAAACAAGTGAGAGGTAGGCAATAAAGTTGAAGACTTAAAGCAAGTTTGTTCTGCAATTTTTCATAATGGGCAAAGATGGAAGTTAAATGGGAGAAACAGAGAAGTGTAATTGCTGATCATTCCCACTTGTTTTACTGGTAGTACGGGTGTTAAGAGGCAGGTAATTGGCTAATCGTGTAGTTGATACAATTTGTATTGACTACACAGTCAATAAGGGAAGGCACTACCCGCCCCCACAACTCTGCAGTTTAAAAGTAACAAGAGCCAGGTGTGTAGGCCACCTGGCTCCTCCTACATTTAAACCGCAGATCTGCAGCAGGGGTAGGCTCCTGGACTCAGCGCAAGCTGGGACTGAGCCAGCTCACACCGAGGCCAGCAGACCCTGACTGTGGGGCAGTCCCCTGTCCCAGGCTGCTGTGGACGGGGCTGCTGCTGGAGCAGCGGCCAGTGCTGGCTGCGAACAGGGGCTGCTCCGGCAGCATCCCCTGGCTGCAGAGGACAGAGAGCTGGGACCCTCTGCAGGCTGGAGCTGCTTGGTGCAGCAGCTGCTGTCCATGTCCAGCTGTTGCAGAGGGGCTCAGCAGCTCCTGTCCATGTCCAGGTGTTGCAGATGGGCTGCTTTGTTGCGGGGAGTCCCAACTTCCCCACTAGGACCCAGAGAGGCCTCCATTGGCCGCCTGAGTGGGGGCAAGCAGCACCATAGAGACAGTGCTGGGGAGATCCAGATTTTACATCCCTAACTAGTACATCTCCTTGATTCCTATCTGATTAATAGAATCCTAACAAACAGCTGCTATAGAAGCCACTATGTCAGGAAGAGGGTGACGTACCTAATCTGACTGCTTACTGTAGTTGATTTCCAAAATAACTTTGGACAAGCAGACAGAAGTAACCCCTGCTGGTTAAATAAAGGTGCATAGACCAGATTTTACATCCCTAACTAGTACATCTCCTTGATTCCTATCTGATTAATAGAATCCTAACAAACAGCTGCTATAGAAGCCACTATGTCAGGAAGAGGGTGACGTACCTAATCTGACTGCTTACTGTAGTTGATTTCCAAAATAACTTTGGACAAGCAGACAGAAGTAACCCCTGCTGGTTAAATAAAGGTGCATAGACTGGTCT